TTCCTTATTTCTTCTTCTTCCATAGTATGTCAAAAACCACCATCACTTTTTGCTAGGCTCCTTAGTTTAAAGTCATTATCACTTTTGTTGTCTTGTCTCTGGAGTATCAAACTTATGATTGTAAGTTGTGGAGGAATGAGTTGATGATACAAAGAATGCAATTTGACAATGCAGATTTCATAATTAAAAGGGAGGCTAACCTGACCGTTATTTTTTATCAGATAGATCCTTTCAGCGATTGTGCAGCTCTTGATTTTCTAAAAGATTACTAATGGAGAAGAAGTGCAACCTATGAGAATATAACAGTGCTCTTTTTTTGCAGTGCTATATTGTCTTAGGATAAATAGACGAAACGGCAATTAAAAGGGACACACACTCATAGATGCAACCTGCAAAGCTGATTCCAATTCTGCCTTCTGTATCTGCTAAACGTTCTTAAGGAAGTTATGACATTTCTGCCAAGGACATCCTGCACGACATGTCGGTAATTGCTTTGAAACTTTAACTTGGACGGGAATACAATTATTCTCTGATAATTAATCAACATCAGTGTGTTTGCATCACGTTTTGGTCCATAGTTGAATTTTAGCATTTTTGAATGTTCAGTAAGCCATTTTTGATGAAGAAAAATCCACAACTTTAAAAATTTTGGCAGGTATGAAAAACAGTTTGGTTTCAGTGTTTGAGCTACATTTATTATATACATCGCTTTTTGGATCGCCGCTTCGACTAAGCATCTTTCTCTTGTAAAACACTAGTAATACAGATTGTTACGTTTCTTCCAAAAATTTGCAGGTTTTCTTACGTGCTGCTATTGATTGTAACGCATTTCATCTTTTGTTTAGAATCTTCAAAACATTAAAACAGCTGGTTCATATGCCACTATTGTCACAGTAATCTTTTTTGACGTACCGATACCCTTCCCTCGAAGCCTGATTACTTTTACCTTTTCACAGCTTATAACTCTTTTAAGAATTGATATCTCGCGATTTTCTTTGTAGTGGTCACCGTTTGATATATCCATTCTGCTGGAAATAAAGCTTCCAAAAATTCCATCTTTCTTATAGTGGGTTCGTTGCTTACGTATAGAGTATACGTTTCTTACCTTTTATTATTTATTGACTCTCTAAGAGATAATTTTCCTGCAAGCCAAACTGTATTCTTCCATCTCCTCTCTGCAAGACTGTTTGGGCGAAAGTTACACTTAAATTCCCATTTAATACTACTCGGAATGTTCATTATATGAGGCACATCCCAGCAAAACTTCTCGGCGGCACTTAACCATTCTTATCTCTAAAGTGGTTTTAAGAATGTTTACCTAAAGAATTTGTTTCTAACAGCTACGAGAACTGATCACCTTGTAACGCTGTTATATAGTGTTTCCTTCCTTTCGAAGGCCGCTTTCGGGTCCCTAAAGGAAGCCACAGACCGCTCACGGACCCAGAGCTCCGAGCAAACCTGTTCG